GGTTACGGCGCCACGTATACCATCATATACCAGTCGTAACCATTACCGGGTGTACTATACTTACTTAATAATATATAGGCGCTCCCGTAATATATATACATATACGAAGGATGTGGGTACACGGTGTACACAAAACGGTAATAAAACTCTCATTTAAAATATAGTTGCCGCGAATTTCTCTGGTTCGTTTTTCCCGTTTGTTTTCATCGTCTCGATATTATAATATTATTACATACGCGCTAACGTATTATTTTGTTTTTTTTTTTTTTTTTTTTTTTTTTACTGAGTGAATTATACTCTTTTTTGTGATAGTCGAAATTTTCGTATCCGCACAGTCAGACGATGGAGCAAAAACCAACCGAAAAAGCCTTGAAAATCGATTTTGGGGATAGTAAAAAACCGAAAACTCGGAGATTAAAAAGATTCGAAAATAACTCTGCAATTGTTTATTATTATATTTTATGAATATGAAGTATTAGAAATGCTACAGTTGAACGATCGGACGCGCATTTGACAATAAGTGGAATATTTAGAGAACATTGTGAAACGCTGTTATTTTCGAAATTTCGTCTTATTAGAATTTAAATCTATTTTTTTTATATTTAAAACTGAATATACAGTCTGTTTATTTCATGTGATCGTGCATTTGATACATAGTCGATTAGCAAGACAAGGGCGGTAAATGATGTGAAAACAAAATGTGACAACTATATCTGTTCTCTTGATGTCTCGATTGATTAACGCAGTATCCGTATTAGTAATCAATATAGGTGGATACGAATTCAACGATCATCAATCAAATTGTTTGCGGATTCCCCACTTCCAGCCACCCCTTATCTAAACCATCGACTAAGTTTTGGATCTACTTTGGGGGTCGACTTTCGGGACCGCCAACTTCTTTGGAGCAGTATCGGATTTGAATCAACAGTATAAAAAAATAATCATTTAACGACCAGACTGCAGTGGTGTCCAACCATTTTTTTACCAGTTCTTGGCGGGCCGAGAATTAAAACTTTTACTTCTAAGTTAATCTAATATAATATTTTATTATAAGTACATCTTAATATAGTGATATAATATTAGATATAATTTATTATTACTATTTTTTTCAATTTTTATTTAATACTTCGGTGGGCCGATTATTAAGCGATCGCGGGCCGTAGTCGGTCACCACTGAACTAGAGTATTGCGTTTGTAAATTTGTGATAGGCAATCGAACAAGGGCCGATCGCGGGATTCCATTTGCGGCTGCGTTTCATTTCGCGTAGGGACCGTTAATACACGTCCGGGGAAAACTACCGTAGAGAAATCGTCCCTCGTCTTTTCCACGTCGCCGCCCTGTGCCGAAATAACGTCTATAATACTGCGATATCGTTCGTCGCATTTATCAATAATAATATCATCGACGCCATTACTACTTAACTCGGTATAAGTATAATAACATAATATATTGTAATCGATCGAGCAAACTGTAGCGCGGCAAAGTCGTTCGGTTTACGATCAATCACTGCGATATCGTACAATATAAACCGGCGGTTTGGCCGTCTGTCGTTTGGAAATCCGCCGTATAATTAATAATAATATTATAATAGAATAATAGACGCGGACCCGAACAGACATTTTCGTGAAATATATTATACTCGATTTCTCGCATCGCATCGTATAATTATATTATTTCGTCTAAAACTCTAGTGTACTATTGGTATACAAATTGTATAATAATTATTATATTTGTTTGTATGTCCCATAATATGAGAATCACTCGAGTCAATTTTTATCAATTTTTTTTTTTTTTTTTTCAAAAATAATTTTGTATAATTTAATTTATTTCTCTTTTTTTTGTCAGTCTAAATTGCATAAGCGTATAAGTGTGTAGCGTAAAAGCTTACGTACAATAGTATAAGATTATGTATATTCAAAAATGAATAATTTTTTTCAATTTAAAACTACACGGAATCGACTAAAAGTCTTTTCCATGGTTTGGTCAAAGATGTAACATGATAAAAATATCATAAAACATTATAATTCAAATTTTTTTGCAACATTTTAAATTTAAAACGTATGTAGGTATAAGTTTGAAACCTATGACCTTGTCAACGCATGATGTTTGAAAGTCCCAGAAATAAATTAAGATCAGTCCATTAAATTATAAAGGTAGCTGTTATAAAAGTACCGTAATAAAAGGAATACTTTTATGTAGGTAGGTACTTGGAATTGGTTCGTGTTCGGCCATATGCAAACCCGGTAAATAATAACTGAAAACGGATAATAATAAATATTACAAGGTAACATAATGTAAGAAAAAAACGGACATGGGAAAAGACGTTTGGTGGGCCACTGTTGCAGGTAAGAAATTGCGAAGGTACCGTACAGATATAAATCAAATACATACATCTTATAGGTAAGATACCTTCCAAATTTTTACTCTCTACATCGTGTAATAAGTTTAAGTATGTATATTTTTGAAAATACCACAGTGTATAAGTTTACGTACAAGCGTGTACGTATTTGATTCTGAGTGTAGCGAATAACGTATTGGTTTTACAAAGATATTTTTTTTTTATGTGAACAATTTTTCTACTAGAAAGCTTCCTCCGGTGTATTAAATGTAGATTCTTTCTTTTCTGAAAGGAAATTTTCTTGGGGTAGTACATTAAGGAGGTCGTTTTTCAATTTCCCGAAGAGTTTACCCAGCAAATATTAATAACCGGGAAAACACGGGAAAACCTCGAATGTCGGTGCAATATTAAACAAATATTATTATTAAAGAAAATATGAAACGTCTATTTCAATTATTTTACCATAATATGGCATACATTATATGGTTGACAAAACGTCACTATCAACTGAACTCCTCTCAGAATAATTTTTAGTAAGCAAGGGTACCGTCTCCGGACGGAATCCGCGCAAAGCAGAAGGCGGCCCACGCACTAGAATCGGGTCGGGTGACGACTGCGAGCCCGAGATGCCGCCGACGCATAGGTCGCGGGGCCTGACAGGCAACGGGAACGTGCTCAGCGATTTTTACTGATCAGGCCGGGTCACGTACACTCGCTAATAGCAACGTTTGAAACCGATCGGCTCGATGACAATTTTGTGGATTGACATTTTATTGTTCTGCATTTAAATGTTCCCATTTTTCTTTAAACGTATTCGATACTTGGATCACATCCGTAGACGATTTTTCAACTATACATAATTTATCTACGCACGTGAAGAAAATAACGGAATCACGAATTCAACGTCATCCGTTTGACAGTATATTATTGTTATATTTGCGTTTAAAATATATTTTTTATAATACGTGCTTTCGTTTTAATTGTTTGTTATTTTTTTTTTGAAATTCTGACTATCAATATTATATTAGCATCCATAGACGATAACCATCGGCCATACACCGCTGTGTGGATAATTAATAGTATTATAACTTTATTATTATTCATAAGAAAAAAAAAATAAAAATGCGGACATACTTCGGACGTGGGCAAAGCCACTGTTGTAGATGGGAAGTTGGGAAGATAGGATAAAGAAGATAATTTAACGTATATCTGTTAGTAACGATAAATCATTGCTAAAAAAAAAAAAACGATCCCAAGCGAAGTTCAGTTGATGCTTTTTCAACATTATGCATGTTATATTATGATAAAATAATTAAATAGACAATATATATTTTCTTTAATATTAGTTGTTAAATACTATACCGATTTTCCCATTTTTCTTTCGTTTTTCCCGGTTGTTCACATTTGTTTTTTACATTTTTTTATTATTTTTTTTATTAAACAAATTAAAAAATAACTTTATATTATTATTTTCAAAAAATTTTAAGATAACCATTCCGTAAAGATTATTTTTCTAAGAATTTTAATGTATTACACATGTATATCCGATGAACAGTTTTTAAGACACGGACATTTTAAATTCTACTAATCCGTGTGAAAACTGATTTTATCAAGGGAATAACCTAACCGTGTTATGCGATAACATCGGTTAACTCAGTTAACTAAATTCGTCGGATAAAATTGTATGTTACAATAAATTTTCCGAAAACAATAAAATAAAGTTATTTAAAAAAAAAAAATTAATTCAAACATAAATATTTGTAATCTTTTTCACTGTGAGTAATATAAAAAACAAGAATTTGATTATCTTTATTATCTCCAGAGATATTCATTGGGTATATCTACGTGGGACAGCCTGTAGGTAATTCAAAAAATCTAAGTCCATAATAATTATTTGTTCTGTCTAAAAGTGGCAAATCTTGTTTTTATATGATTAAAAACCTCTTTTCGGGGATGGATAATGGATATGACCCCAATACCTAAATCTACACCCCATTCTTCAAAAACAAACATTAATTAATAAATACATCACCGCTGAAGAAAATTCTAAAAAAAAAAAATGTATGTCGAATACCTTTAGGGAGTTAGGGAGCCTATTCAATCACATCATAAAAATCACGATAACTATTATATCGTATCTACCTGCGCGTTTCGTTTTTAGAATTACCTAATAAAAATATATCGCCCTGGTAGGAAGGATTTTCTTTTCTTTTGCCGCCTTATACTTATATAGGTATATGTAGGTATATATATATAAATATCTAAGTATCTGGATACCCGGACATAAAAGCAAAATGTTTGACCGACAACTAGACAAAAGGTTTTATCACTTGGTACAGTCGTAGTCGCCAGATTGGACTACTATTCAGTTCATTGTTCGGTTATTACTCTAGAGATTTTTTTTTCGTCTCGCGCTTACGACTCGATCAGTCGGTTCGTGGTTTTTGTCGTTCTCGAAAATAAATTATAAATTATTAATTACTGTTTTCATTCTCTAGAGATTTGTTAGACTGTGACAGATATACTGTATGCATAATGTATAGGTGTAATATAATCGTAAATAAGAAATTGACATTATAGTGCAGAATGCAAGCAAATCCTCAATAAATCAAAACACAGTAAACAGTTCTCGTTCTATTACCAACCGCAATATTAGATTGTCGTAAAAAGCCTATTATAATACAATACATTTAAATACATAAAAAAGCCCCGTAACTCTGTTAAGGTCTTTATTTCTACTGTCACCTACCTTCAATAGTCCCCACCTATATCAGTTACTTTCAGTCTCTCGAGATCTTGTAATACTCCATTGATCCATTGTTTCTTTGATCTGCTTCTGTAGCCTCTCCCTATTTGTTGACACTCAATTCGTGTCCTTACATTATTGGTTTCTTCTCTTCTCATTGTATACACAAATCATCGAATTCCCTATCACTTCATAAAACTTTGTTTTATGTGGTACTTAAGTAATTTACCTAATTCCCCCCTCCCTTTTTTTCCTCCACGCTGGTTATTTATTGCGTTATTGAACACCGGTCTACATATTATTATTATTATTAGAACTTTGTTCTCGAAGCTCGGTGGTTTTTGTTCAATGTACACCGTCATAAACCATTCACGTTTATACGTTATAGTCCGTCTGCAATAAGTTAGGTAGAATATAACATGTGCGTATGAAAAACAAAACACTAAATTCTGTACCTCAGAACCATACGAACGCAAGTCACATTTTTTTTTAAGCGAAAAACTAAAAAAGGAACATGTTTCCTGCCATATATCAGGACTTACGCTCGTATAATCCTGGTAAAATAATGGAAGGAGTATTTTTAACAGACTTCTATTATTATGGCTCTATTGAAAACATAAATTACATGCAAAAAAATGTAATAATCTGAAAATCGTTATTTTTAGACTTACGGTAGTCTAGTTCTAAGGTACAGGATTGTCTTTCGTGTTTTTATTCTCTGGAAATACGTGAGATGTAAGAGGTCATCACAGTATAGGTAACATTTAAATGTTGTAGAAATATGTTCACGAAAAACTTTGTTCAATCCTTTCCCGGTGGTACGTTGCAATTGATAGTTGTTAACAGTTTTACGCACTTGTTGTAACTCTAATCCATCAAAGTATCAAAGTATCACTAGCGAGTTCTTTATTTCGAATCAGAGTAGGTATATAATATTCAGAGAGTTGTTGCGACGCGCGCATTCATCGAGTCCATCGGTTTTATTAGATTTTTTTTTTTTTTCACTCACTTGACATGGATTTTTAAAGCTTAAAGACCGAAAATTTTTGTTACTTTATTTAATCGTTCGATTACGCGTCTCACGAGGTAAGATAGCGGTGGACGGTTATTTCGGATCATAGATGACGGACCAGAAAATCTGTCTGAACGTTAATCGTCGCGCATTAAGCCGACGCCCGGAGCTGGACCGCTGTAACTCTCCAAGCTCCCACCGCTCACAGTGGGTTACACTCGAGACAAATTATATAAGACCGCATAAATCCGAGCTTAACAAAAAAAAAAAAAATCAATAAAAATATCTTTGATACCTACGCTTTATAGTATCGTCGGAGAAAATAGGAAAAAAAAAATAAAACCTCCGAAACCGTTCGGTATCTTACAGTGTTTTTTTTTTTTTCATGAGATAGGAGAGATGAGTCGGATCAAATTATGTTATCGACTATCGCCGGAAACGATTTTGCAACGTTTTGTGATGGCGGCGATAGAAACGCGAGCGGAAAAACGAAAGTCAAAACGACACGTTTGTGCGGTCGTTCATTTTACCCGTCTTCCGGGTTTATATCCGCCGAAACTTTTGGAGATTGAAGTCCGTGATGATTTGATATTTGACATTCGTTTTTTTTTTTCAATTTCCACCGATATACTTATTAACCGCGGGATAAGTCACTCGCACGCGTACCATTCGCCGTTCGTAACGTGTATAAAAAAAAAATAAAACAAATATATCCGTGTACACAAATTTATAAAGGCCCATATAATTTTATTATTTTCTTTTTTCAAACAATCTGCTTGTATACTTTAAAACTTAATACGCCTCGCGGTTTATTGGTTTTTCAAACTAAAAGTCTATATTATACTTACGCATACACACACACACACACACACACACACACACACACACATACATAAACATATTATAGTGTTTCAACGGTAGTGTAAGTATTTATTTACGTTCAAGTTTATTTGCCAAGACCAACACAATAAAAACAGCCGAGTTCTTTTAAAATAATTGCCGAGTGGCGGCGGCGTACAATACGCGCTCAGTAAAATAATTATATTATTCTTTGACGATGGACTACGCTTATTTCCGTTCTTTTAAATCGTTCTAATTAGCTAATTAACGAAATTAATTATTCTTATCGGGATCAGTCGACGAAACGTCGTAATAGCATTGACGGCGAACTATTATAATATTATAACAGGCACTGTTACGGTTGAGGCTCAAAACGCATAATAATTCAAATTACCGCGGGCGACCGCATTCGTTGTGTCCTGGCCTAATAGTTGTCAATACAGATAAGTAGGTACCTTTTTACTGTTAGTAATTTTTACAAAACTAGATATGTACATGTTTTTTTTTTTTCAATAGATATCAAAAAATAATTTTAACTGGGTCTATTTCTTTTAATTTTTGTGTCGGTCTTCAGCTATCTATGTTCCCTATTCCTTTCCCAAGAAACGGCGATTTCCATCGTCTTGTCTGACATAACGGTTGTCGTCATAAATTAATTTTTGCTGCATTCAATCCGTAGTAGTGGTCATTTCAAAAGACGGTCTGCGTCTTGCTCCGCATTACACTCACGTGTTCAGTTAAATTGTATTTGGTTTCGGTCCGTAGTATCTATTCGACTATGGAAGACGACACTCTGACAGTAAACTTAATAATTTTTCCAATAAAACCATAACGATGAGATATTTATACAATTTGCATAATTTTTTAATACATTTTTATAATTGATTTCTCGTTCTTGTTGTTATTTATCAAACACTTTTAGAGTATATTACCGTAAAACAAAATTTCTTTCCGCTTTTTTCCGTCTTGAAAGTTTATCACTAAACTGTTCCATCATTAGTAATTTATTGTCTTAATTCCTTCTTATTCTTCATCAAACCATTTCTGTTTTGGCCTTCCTATCAGTATTTTTCCCCGGCAGAGGGGTTCAGGTTAAAAACAACATAGACTTGGACGTGACCAAACACACTCTAGCCAATTATTTTGTTAGATTTTAATTTCTATATTCTTGGGTTTCTGAATTATTTCTGGACTTTTTTGTTTTTATTTTATATTATATAATAAGTTTGTGTCTTGTCGTATTGTTTTTTAGATTCACCTAGATCCACCTCCGGAAGTTTCCATGACAGCTAATTTATTCTCATATTCTTCAGTTGTGGGCCACGCGTACACAATAAGAAACGAATTTATTTAGCATAAATAATGAATTTCTGACCGTGAAATATACATATTATTATACGTATGGGAATATAATATGTTTATCTCCGCACAATATACTATTAAGTTGCGTTATTGGCAATCAATCAAATTATTTCCCGGCTTGTTATCCGTTTATACCGACGGCGAACAATCTTCTCTTCCGCACTTCCGCATTTTTAGATAGAACATCGGCTTGGATACCTACACGTAAAATAATAACACAATATTTTGATGAGCTAAGGAAAACCCGTGGAAACTTTTTACAATGAGATTGAATTATATAAGTAGCGCAATAATTACGTCAATTATCTTATTTAAAAAAAAAAAACAAAACCAGCAACGCATTTGTTTGGTTATAAATTATAGAAATCTATTATTATTATATTATATACATACAGATAGATAATGTTGGCATTATAAATTAAAATATAGATTATAAACATTTAAAAAAATCCGATTAGTATTATTAGTAGTATTAGTTACATTTTAAGTCACTGATTATTTTAGTATCACACCCGGATGATGCTAAGCAGGGAACACTGCTGTGTGTAGCTCCCTTCCTCATGTATCTATGTTTTCTCCCTACACATGAATACGCATTCATGTGTGTCCATATTAAAATAGTGCAGATTTATACCTGATTCGGAGTTTAAACCTAGGTAATTTAAATCTCTAAAATTGATTAATATCGTTCAAACTAATCTGTTATAGCAATAACCACGGACTGAATTAAAATATCATTACTCGCTCTCCATGCCGCGAAGTTTTTCAATACCGTCTATAATTTCACAGGTTGTCAAGGAATTTCATACACAAATTTAATATGCAGTACAGGTGTTCCTAAAAGGGACACTCGTGGGATAGTCAAAAGTGCCTGTAATAAAAATGTATTATAAGGTGTTTTTAAGGACAAATTTATTCTGCTACTATCGTTTTTCCGATGTTAAATTGTACACATAGTTTACGTATAGAAAAGCCGTTATAGTGTCTTTGCACCGAACAATTTACAATTTTTGCTTTTAAACGAAAGGTTTTCGTAGAACAGAAGGTATCATTGCTAAGAAAAACAACCGACATCATAGTCATAACCCGGGAGGCGCTACATGGTCTTTGCACACCAAGTTTAAAATAAGCACCCCCAAAAATACCCAATAAGCTTTTTTATAATATAGACTAAATATGTTATCCATGTATGTTTTATAATTAATAAACAGCACAAAATACAAATTTCTTTAATGGAAATATATGTGTGTATAAAAAAAACGTTAAAAGAGTTATGATTCATTTTTGATAATATTTTTTCTTTATTGACCACGAAATAACGTTTCCAGTTTCGGATAAAATAATTTAATCGGTCGGACATAGGTATAATTCGTTTGTTTTCTTCGTTTTAGGGTAAAAACGTTGTCCGTCATTATGCCAACGGTGAGAAATATTACTGTCCGCGTGTATTTCAAGAAGAGTCCGTTATAGACAGGCATAAAAACGGACGAAGCCCGTTCGGGTCTCATTTTACAAAAAAGGTGAATTCCCGAACGTATCCCGTTTTACAAAAATTATGAACTCGAGCTTTGATTTGCGTTAAGGATTGTATTTCGGTCAGTATATTGATAACCTTAGAAATATTTGGACGAGTAGTGTTAAATTCACTGTTGAATTTACCGTGGAATCATTCACGGCTATTTGTAGTCAAAAGAAGGGGAAAATTAACATTTAGCCCATAATTCAGCAGAGAAACGACAATCGGACATTATATAATTTCCAAAAATATAACCAAACACTTTGTCTATTTTATCGTCTTTTGGTTTAATAGCCATTTTTTTGCCGGGACTTAATTATTTTGTCCGTTGAAAGACGTGTCCGTTATAGACAGATTTCACTATGTACCTTTGTATTAGTTTTAAATACTGCACGATAGGTATCGCAACGTAAACTTCCGTTTTATGTAATAATTTTCGAAATTCGGCGACTGATGAAATACTGTTATAATATGTATAACACTATATTATGTATTGACTGAGATTATATTCTTAGAGACTATATATTGTACGAGACCCGCGGTTATTTATTAACTTTCACCGTAATAATATTTTTAACCGTCTTTCGTAATTTTTTGACGCCGCCGCCGTCGCCGACACGAAGTTTGTATAATATAGGACTCGGCATTTAATTAAAATCGAAACTTTCGCCGATACTTGCGGTCCGACTAGGTAAATATATTATTATGTTTACCCGGCGGTATTCCTCTTTTCTTAAACAGCTTGCAAGTTTTCCGCCAACGGTATAAGGGTGATATTAAAAAATAAAAAATACACGCACACACACGCATACTCACACACACACACAAGTAGGTACGTTGAAAACAAGAAGTTACGGTGACCCTCTGTAAACATAGCTGTATTACGATGACGGCACACGGTACGGCAAAAAAAAAAAGAGAAAACTCATTAACATTTTTCTAAAGGGGGTAGCTTCCGTTTAATTTTAATCCGCGTATAAATCCATACACATAGCTATTGGTCGTTGCGATTAAAGCAAAACAGCCGTAACATTGAAGCGTGAGCATAACATAGAAAATGTTACGGTTTTAATACGACCTATAGAATAACGGCCATTATAAACGCATTTCGTATAATATTTGTTTCTTGAAATAATTCGTAAAAGTCTATTAAATAAAAAAATCATTGAAAAAATCTGAGTAGTTCCAATACCGAGATATTGGCACTAGGTACTTTGAGAAGTACCTGGTGGTCCCATTGAGTATTTCTTCTATGAAAGTCTTACTTAATGCTATTTTCTCACTGGGCAAATAAATGGTAAACCATTTAATAAGTGGATTTTGTAACAAAATATTGAATATGTTTAGGAAATATTGGTGGGGACAGAGGTGACTTGAGATATGTTATTTGTTGGTTCAAATTTCAAATAGTATAAAATAGTTAAGACTAAAGTAAGCTATAATGTTAAGAACACGGTCGGGAACAACTATTTTTCTGGTTTCCTATTGTTGTTATTTATTCATGATAATTGCGGTATAGGATAAAGACATTTGGCTACAAAATTAAACCATACGACATTTTACATGAACCTTAATTCATGGATTTCGTTACAATTTTAACGACCCAATACAATATTCAAGCCACCTAGAGCTCTGAGTGGGAGGAGGGGTAACTGTAGACAGTCCAAAAGTTAAGGAGGAGATTTAGTATATTTGCTGGTAAGGCAATTTAAGGAAGGTGGATACGCAGTGGGTATTCATTAAAAGATGCCATGAGATTCAAAAATAACAAAGTGAACGTTAAAAAAATATACATATATGTATAAAACGTTATTATAATATAGCTGAGTTTTTTTTGTTTTTTTTTTTTTTTTTTATATGCATTTTTGCTTTTGCGAGTTAAATGTATAATGATATGCTATTATGCGAGTACAATATTTGTTTACATACCCACCTAGTTGTTCTACTGCAGTTTTATACAACAATAATTTGTTTCGTTGTAAATTGTTGACCGAACCTAACCTTACGAAATATTATTTGTACGGGCACGTCAAATCGCTGGTGTAGGTGCAGATACAAAACGGAATATACCAAAATATGATATACACGAGTATGAATAATGAAAAATAACGACGCGACGCGTTCCGAAATCGTGTGAAATACAAATACTATTGCGGTCTGCACACTCCTAGCGGTAAACTCGTAAAATCCCAACCCGTCTTTTATACAATATTATATATAATACCCGAGTATACCTGCAGGTTGTCTATAATATACCTAACCCATAACCCACGGTTGTGTTTCGGTTTTTAAGCCACGTGTCCGGAGGCCGCGTTCGTCCTCCCCTACGCAGTGCGCGCACATTCCTGATTAACGGTGTCGGATCACGCGAGCTCTATGAACGTCCACGGGCTTTACGACATATACCTGCCTAGCCCATCCGTCCAGCGTTCACATTCATTTTCCCTTGTCGACTCGTGTTTTACGACGTTTTCCCCCCTCGTCCGTGTATAAATCCCGTAGTAAATTAGTTTTAAATTACAAAATAAAATCACGGTTCGACTCGGTAATAATAAA